GAATAGAGGAGAGGCAGTATGTACAGTTTTGCACACACATAGACATATGACACACATATCTAATTTTACAATTTTGAATTCATTTTGAAATGAAGTTGGAACAATGTCTGTCCACACACCTCAGTTTTTTTTGTAATGAAAGCCGTCCTCTCTTCTGTTTGTGATAACAGGAACTGAGTGTCGCCTTTTACAAGCATCTGGTGCAGGATCCTGTGTGTGAAGAAGAGTCAGGTAGGAGGAAAGTCAACCTCCTGGGATTTGACTTGGATGAGATCCTCATTCAGCGGGCTCAGCAGACCAACCCTCTGCCCAGCAGCATCTCCTTCATCCCTCTGGACATCACCGAAGACACCGACCAGCTGCAGGACTACCTCCACCAGCACGGCTGCTCCCGCTTCCACCTGTGCCTGTGCCTGGCTGTCACCATGTGGGTCCACCTGAACCACGGAGACACCGGGCTGCTGCAGCTGCTCTCTCACCTGGCCTCCATCAGCCAGCACCTCCTGCTGGAGGCGCAGCCCTGGAAGTGCTACCGCTCCGCAGCCCGGCGGCTGAGGAAGCTGGGCCGCTCGGACTTTGACCACTTCAAGGGCCTGAAGATCCGCGGGGACGTAGCAGGACATGCCAGGGAGCACCTGGAGACGCACTGCGGCATGGAGCTCGTCCAGAGCTTCGGCAGCACCTCGTGGGACCGGAAGCTGCTGCTCTTCAAAAGGAGAGGACGCTGAGGGAGAAGAGATCTCATCTGCTGCACTGGAGCTGCAGGGACATGATCAGGGAAGACAATCCCAGAGAAACCAGAGAGAGGAATGGGAGAAAGGTGGAGCTGATTAGTGGATCGACATTAATCAGCTGTGATTATGTTTGTCCTGTAAGTCACTTTTCAAAACAAACATGCTGAAATGTACTGCAGTGTGTGTTTATCTTTGACTTAAATTAAAGCAAACTGGGTTTTTGTTCTTGGTCAGACAAAACAACCCATCTGAAGACGTCTCATTGGGCTCTGGCAACTGGTGATTGACATTGTGTTGACAACACTGTTGACTGATGACTGGGGGAAACTGGCAGATTAATCTATTTATAATCATTAGGGCTGCAACTAATTATTTTAATTTCTTGATTAATCTGCTGATTACTTTCTGTAAAATGTCAGTAAACAGTGAAAACTGTATTTTACTGTTTCTCAGAGGCTGCAGTGTCAGCTTCACTTAAATCCAAACAAAGATATTCAGTTTACAAATTATATAAAACTGTAAATCCTCAAACCAGAGAAGCTGCAACAAAAGTATGTTTTCTTTTTCCTGAAACATTTAAATCAATTATTAAAATTGCCAGTTAGACTAATTGTTGCAGCTCTAGTGGAAAGGAAAACCGGGGGCTGTAGCCAAAACCTTTAAAATACATAGCATGAGTTTACTAAATGATCTGCCTCAGTGCTGATGTGTCTTATTAATTAAAAAAAAGTGTATTATTATTAAAAATGTTTGCCAGAGATAACCCAGCTGTACTAATTGACTGTTTACTTTGTATTTGAGTTGTTCAAATACAGATACCAGTACCGGGAATTCCTCCGATACGACCTAGAATGCGGTATTGGATATCGGCGAGTACACGTCTGTGCAACGATCGGATACAACGTAATTTATTAACCCCAAAACATAACCCTGTTGCTTCCCAGCAGAGTCCTGTTCACCATTTTTTGACAGCAATCACACAGGCTTAGGAGTATAATAAAAAATAATGTATGTATATATATCTATATCTATTTTTAATGCATATTTATAGGATCAGTACTCTGTATCGGTATCAGAATCAGGAAAAACTTGTATCAGAACATCTCTATTTTGTCTTTACATTATCAAGCAGCTACTATTCTGTATCAGAACTGACTGAACCATAGTGGTCAATGACTCAAAACTACAAAACATAAGCACAACATATTAATTTTCATCATTTTAATTACAGAATACTAAAAATAACATTACATAAAATGTCTTTTTAAAAGAAACCATTGAATATTACAAAGGTTGTAAATTTTGTAAAGTTAGGATATAAAATCTTTGAACAGTGGTGCATAATTGAAAAGAAAAATAATTTTCATAAAATGTATATATTAACTGTTCTACTACATAAAAAATGAGATGGACACAAATTGCAGACAGACGAGATGAGTAGACACCGCCATTACCGCAGTGAGCTCTCCTTTCGAAGGAAGAAAGACTTGAGATGCACAGCACACACCACAATCAGCTTAAGTTCTCAAGTTATGTCTATGTTCAAAAACAAAAAAAAGTGGGATGGGGTGGAGGGAGGGTTACCATTTACAACAGAGGAAAAACCAACAAGCTTGAAAGACTACAAAAAAAGTGACTTGGTGGCTGCTCCCAATATTCACACGCACACACACATCTCGATGGGTGAAAACCCGACTAAACTGGCCTCGGTTCCATAAACACATACTGTTTTCCACAGGTTTAAGCTGTACAAAAGAGTTTTTGAGAAACCTCATACTTTTAAATCATTCCACCAAGACAGGGAAATAACGATCAGCTCTCTTTCAGTTTCCTAACACAGCCATTCCTATATCCTACTGTACAACTGGTCAGTCAGATCCACTGAAAGCTACCATGGTCACCTAATTCAATATCAGGAAGTCAACCTTAAGGAACTGGAATAGACTATACACAGGGGGGGCGGTGGGGTGGGGGGGGGACATGCATATTCCAACAGTGTGCTTGCTTTCTTCCTCTTCTTTCTGAGATCTACGTCACCCTGTGTCACTTCATCATGAGCCCTTGTTAAGATGTTTCAATAAAACACCGCTCAAAAAGAATCACCCATCGAGGACATTCAGAGCCTGGTTGAACCGCGGATGTCCCTCTACATGTACGACACACTGGCCACTAATGTCCACACAGAGGTATTTCATTAGTCTCCTGCCGTTCCGGGAGACGCATTGTGTCACATTTTTGGTAAACAGACACGGGGGGAGGG